GTCAAAACTCGGAAAGCATTTACTAAATTGTTAGTATGCAATTATACTCAGGAACCAAACTTACGCTCTGACACATTAGAGAATGTGTGTTCTAGTGTTTACCCACCTCAGCCACCTCCAACTCTTCCCTGTTATATGTTTTCCATCTCGTATTTCATGTGCCAAGCTGCCTTTGAGAGTTATGTTTACCACCAACTCCTCCGTCTCCGACACAGTGCCACTTCTGAGTCGCTGGCCCAACCCCTGCTGCTCCAGAGGACCTCACAGGAGCCATGCACCCCAAATTCCACCACAGCGGCCACCACTCTGGCACTGGCACCCCCACTCTCAGTTCAGTCTGAGGGGGCCCAAGGGAAAGATTGTTCCAGAAGCCCTTCCACTCACCTCATGCAAACCCTCTGTGACTCTGGTCCCCAGCGATGTGAGTGGGCACCCTTCACTTTCTCAGCTGCAACTAGAAGATCTCCACCCAGATGAGGGAGACTTTGTTCAGTACCCTGCAGGCTACAGGCCCAGGCTCACACTGTAAATGGAAAGCAGGACTGGGCTAAAGGTGGGTGGCCTTTGGGATTAGCCTACCCTCCACTCTAAAAATGACTTAAAACTAAACCCATGAGCATTCTAAAAAAAATCATTTTTATCTCAACATACTAGCACCATGGAGTTAAATCTACTACAAACACATTTGTATCTCATTTCAAGCAATAAACATGACCCCCCTCAAAATAATCCCTAAGAAAGTGCTTTTGATTAGGAAAGCAGGTGACAGTGCACAGTCAACAGCACCATTAGGGAAATTGAAGCAGGCCAGAGACCCCGTACCCAGAAGACCCTCACCATAATTTTTCTTGTTAATATAATATCAGCAAAGATTTATGCAAAACAGTTCAGTGTGATTAGACCTTCCTATTTTCTGATGCTGTGTCTCGCAAAAGCTAAGTTTAACTGCAGACCTGCTGATGTTGCTCCTGCTTCTGTGGTAAAACGTGTAAAACCTCTGACTGTTCTAAAAACTGGAACAAAAAGCACTGTCATGTGAACCTCCAAGCTCCCCCCACCCCTGCCAACTCGGTATTAAGTCCAAAGCATTTCTAGACTCTTGGTCCAGAGAATGATTTGGGCAATAGCCCCTCTGGACCCTGCAGTCAATAAACCTGCTTCCTGAAAATTCCCTGGGTGGCCAGCCTTGTCTGTCCCACATCCAAACCTTCCACAAGCAAAGCATCCTGCCTCTATAAACACTCACCCTTGAAGTCTCCAGGACTCGCCCTGGGTTCCTGCGGTCTATGCAGGGCTCTGCCTTTACACTCCCTGAAGAGGGAACACCTGTACAGTGAGCCTGTCTTCCGGAGCTCAGCTCTATATTTTGGCACAGGGTGAAGGCTCCAAAAAGATTCCATGAACAGAGGAAACGAAGGAGCAGATGAGTGTTCCTTCCCCAGTCACATAGGACCCTCCATCTGGGACCTCCAAGATCACCCCTTCTGTCCTGCCTGTGCAGAGGTGCCACTCCCACCCTGCCAGATGCCTGGAGCTGGCTGTCCACATACAGATAGCATATTCCTGATCTTGGGCTCCCTCTTCCCTTCCATAGCCATCTCCTCCCCACCCCCACCACCCAATGGCAGCAACACCAGAGAAGGGAGAAGCAGCAGAAGACACTTAGGTCAGTCACTCTTCCCTACTTTGGGCAAAGATGTTCTTCTTTGGATCATCCAGATCCTTCCAACTCCTAAAGCTCTCTCTACGGGATGCTGAGTTATGGGGGAGGGGGCTGAAATCTCACTAGCTGCAGAAGCAACAGGCCTTTCTGAGTCTGCAGAAAGACCTTCATTCTGGGGCTGGGGTTGTGGCTCAGTGGCAAAGCACTTGCCTTGCACATGTGAGACACTGGGTTCGATCCTCAGCGCCACATAAAAATGAATAAATGAAATAAAGATATTGCATCCATCTATAACTTAAAAATAAATAAATAAATAAATACCTTCATTCTAATGTGTCCCATCATGAAAGCCCAAGGAGTGGGCCAGGTGAAAGGAAAAGGGAGGGAAGGTGAGGAATTTGGAGCAGGACCACTCCATGGGCACCACTGGTCAGTAGAGTAGAGGTCACTTGGGAAGTAAGCATGGGGTTCAGGTTAATGAGTGGGTCTCAACCAAATGCAGCCCTCCAAGGGACACCTGGCAACATCTGGAGATATTTGGTATTCACAACCGGGGGTGGTGGTGTGCTACTAGCATCTAACAGAGGCCAGCAAGGATGCTAAGTGCCCTATGATATACAGTCCCCACCACGGAGTCACCCAGGAAAAACTGTCAATAGTACCGAGGTTCAGAAACACTGGGCTTATCATCAAGAATTCTGTTCTAGTCTATGGCTCAGAAGACACTTCCAACGTAACAGGAAGTTAGCATAAAAAGTTAAATGATATGAGTCCCAGAGGCTGGTTCAGGTGCTATCCATTCGTCCATTCAGCAAATATTTATGAGCACTAGGTGCTTTCTGGGCTGTGGAAGAGCTCACAGCTGGTGACTTGAAGAATCCCTGCCAGTGTCACCATGTGGTTCACTGCAGGAACTCAGAGTGGGAGCCTGGAGAGTGGAGCCACTGAGAGAAGAGACTCAGCCTCGCCTGCCCACTTGTTGAGAGCTCAACTTCCACAAAACATCCCTCTCAGGCCTCAGGGGCTTTGGGATTTAAAATAATAATAATAATAATTCCTCATAAAAAGTCTTTTGTCCAGAGTGAAACTTGTGGCTGTCACTGCGGGGATTGAGCATAGTTCATAATTATCTCATTTATCTTAACTGCCAAAACCTAAAAAATGAAGGGGGTGTGGCTGAACACTTGGTTAAATTCTTTCTGCTGCTGCCCGGGCAGCTGCACACCTCTCCAAGAGTCCAGAAACTCTCCTACAGTCAGAATGCAGAGAAGCCACTTGGAAAGACAACTGAGAGGTAACATCAAAACGGTAAGGACCAGGCTTGGAATCTCTGTGGACACCATGAGGAGAACATTCTGTTTTGTAATTATACCTCTTTCAATTTGTTGAATTCAATTATTAAGCAACAAATTAACCGACCACTACCTACAGATGGATGAGCCTCTGCTGTTATTTTCTTAGTTGAGTAGAAATGGCAAGCAGCAAAAGCACTGCCCTAGAACCTCTCCTGCTGCATGAATAAAACATTAGCTTCTCTAAATTTAAACGTAAACCCCAATTAATGCATCAAAATGTCAGTTGTCACCCAAAGCATTTTAGTAGCAAGGAAATACCTTGGAATAAAGAAGGATCCTCACAGGAACACAGTGGAGTGATCTGATTTTATTCCCATGGCTGGAGCTCCTACAGCCTGTCTGCTAGTATTTATCCCCTCAACAAAGCCTCAGAGAGAGGGCATCTAAGAATACTGCTGGTGGTTCAAGGGACTTGTTTCCATGGTCTTAATCATTAAGTACGTTTGTACCAAACTCAGTCATCACCACTGTGAGTGCCCCTCAAGTCACAAACCTCAGTGATCATTTCCAGAAAACCCTAGAGCCAGGAACAAATAGAATTATAAAAATAAACCTAATCATGACTTCAGGGGCTGAAGAGATGACTCCCAAAAAACTATGATTTGTATCATAGTCCTCAATTACAAAGAAAGCAGAGAATGAAAACAAGAAATAGAAAAGTTGTATTTTCTAACAGAAAAAAGCAGAAATAAAAAGTGAGGTCATATCCATAGCCATAAGAAAAATGGTTTCCAATGGATTTGAATTCTTGTCATCCTACACCCCATATTTTTCAGACAGAAAGGGAACTTGGTCCCTTGACTTCCTTCTGCAATCTAAAGCCAGCAGATCAGCGATGATTTCAGTAGCAGTCAGGAGACTTGAGTACACATACATCATTGTAAGGTTTATGCTGAATTAAATGCACTCACCACAGTCCTCTAAAGACCAGCAAGGGCATAGAAACCAAACATTCAAATCCTACGTTTCTTCCCCAAAATATAAGCTCATTGCTAGTAGACTGCTGATGTTTGGCTTGGACTTGAAGGTTTCATAAATAATCTAAAGATAGACATACTTTTAGTGATGAATATGATTAAATTACAAAAGCCTGATGTTCTTCCTAGTACCAATATATTGCAATTTCAAGCAATAAATAACAGGTTTTAAAAATCCTCAAGATTATCAAGCTATTAGACTCACAAATGAATGAGGCAATGCTCATTTCTTTGACTGAAGTGGTTAATGTCTCTTTGCTGTGTCCAAACACAGTGATGAGACCACTCAATTCTGGTTATATCTATCAGCATCTGGAGTTTGTTGTAGGCAACCTCTCTCTCTTCCAAAGTAAGCCAAAAAAAGGTGAGGTCTGTGTCATTGCTCCTGGCACAGTCAGCTGAAAGCCCACTACAAAGAAGTTTCAGCTTCTCTACCTGGCACCAGGCTTTCTTTCATCTTGCAAGCACCGTGCCAGAATTGACACTGATGCGTATGGAACCTCCTCACTGAGGACCCCAAAAATCCTGGGGCAAAGGGAGGGGCTGAGATATAAAGAACTGTCCTCCATCATCCTGCTTAGGAGACACCGGGAAGAGTTAAAATCCGGGCTGCCTAAGTCTGCATTCTCCAAAAGAGCCAGCTGCTCCTGACCCGGGGCCCAGTAACACTTTCTGATCACAGTAAAGCTACGCAGCCCAGGATACTGATTCGCTTGCGCGTTTCTCAAGTTCTGCCACAAGAGGGGTGCCCTCCATATTGTGACACCTCCGGAAGAAGGGGATAAGGATGGAGAGGACTGTGTGGGAGAGAGAGGCTTGTGAAATAACGGATCAGAAACCCTGAAGGCTCTGGAGAACTGTCTCCAGGCCTCTTCCTCAAAGTTACAACCTCAGGCAGGGCGGCAGCTGGCGGCAGGACCGTCACAGAGCGCGCTTCCCAGGCTGCTGTGACAGTGGTAGGAAGACCAGAGGACAGGGAAAAGGCTTGGGGCGGGGTGGTCTTACTTTTGTAGCTCGCTGCCCAGGGCTGATAGCCATAGTAGCCTGTGATGCGCAGGATCCGCTCCTCAATGGAGGTGAGTCCCACCGGCCCGCTGGTGAGGTCCTCCACCGAACGCGACCATTTCAAGTCCTCCTTGATCGCCTCGTCTACCACCAAGTACTTGAGCTGCCTGAGCTGGGGGCTGATGTCGGACAGTCTCCGAGGGCTGACGTCCGGTGACTTCCTCATGCCACTGAGGCCGCGGGCGCCGGGGCAGGTGGCAGGCGGAGAGGGATTAAGGACACAGAGGGGGGCTTCGGTGAGGAGCGGGGCCCTGGGCGAGCCAGGGTGCAGCCGGGGCTGCTCCCTCGCGCCACCCACCTCTGCTCGCTCCGAGCCTCGAAGTCGGATTCGTCTCCCGTCTCCCGCGCCCTCCCCTGGGCGCCTCCGGCAGTGTGGGTTGGGGCCAGTGGAGAGGGAGAAGGTGCCTTAAACTTCCCGCCATGCACGTCGCCCCTCCCGGACCCCCGAGGTCGCGGCTGCAAGAGTCCACCCAGCATTCGGGCCATCTGCCGGCCGGCTCGCGCGCCCACACCCCGGGCGCTACTCACATGGCGATGCCTTTGCCCCTGGGTGCGCCGCCGGGAAACTCTCGGATCCCCATAGGCAGCGGCAGGGTGAGGCCGGGAGCTCCCAGACTTGAGGCGGAGGGGCCGCGGGCCCGAGCTAGCGGCAGCTGCTGGCCAGGAGAGGTGGGAGCGCTGCCCGCCACGGGTCCGCCCCGTGCAGCCCTGCGCGCCCTGGTTTGTCCCCACCACCTCCGCGGCGTGCGGCGGGCGGCTCAGCCCGGCGACTCGAGCCGGTCTACGGGGCCCACTGCAGCTAGCCGACAGCCGAGCGGCGGAGCAGCGCCGCGCCCCTCGCCTGTCACTGTCGCCGCCGCCCTAGCACAGCGCGGGCGCGGGCGCCGCGGGGCCGGGAGAGCGCTCCCAGCTGTGCGCTCCGAGACACCTGGGCTGGCGGGGGTGCGCCCGGCAGGCGCGCGGAGCCAGGCGGGGGCGCTGCGCCCCGCTCCCGCAGCCCGAGTGCGCCCGCCGGGACCCCAGCTCCGTCCGCAGCCTTGGAGCGTGCACCGCTGTCCTCCGCCTGCAGGACCCGCCACAGCCCGCGGACCCGGCCGGGCACTTCCACCAGCCTCGGGGCGGGTGCTGCCACGCCCGCCCCCGCCCCCGACCTCCTAAAGAGCAGAACTACTCCGAAAGAAAAAAATTCGCCTCTACACTCAGAATGCCAAATAAATAAATGGTATTTCATAGGCAAAGCTGAGAAAAAGTACATCGTTTTATGGTCGGGATGGCGCAGTCAAACCTGTCCTCAAAGGGCGCATCTTCTCACTGATGAGGCCAGTACCCCGTCCGTTTTCTCTTTGGAGATGCCCCTTCTCTTTAGCTTCTGGTCGGTTTTGTGTTTCCCTGTTCACCCGCCCTTCTTTCCAGATTAACTAATCACCTTTCATAAAGTTATTGTCCATTGGTCCAAATTTAGAAAATATGGGAATGTGTGAAGAAAGATACCAGTTATCCCACCAAAGGTGCCTGCTTTGAATTAGATATGGCCTCCTTTTTTCCAATGCAAAAATACTTTTTTTCTTCACAAAATAATCAGATTCAAATCACACAACTACCTCATGTACCATTTTTATATTAAATATAAATATATGTTCCTCAGCAAACTGGAATAGACGAGAACTTCCTCAGCTTGATGAAAAGAAATTATAAAATCCTACAGCTAACACAATGCTAACTTCACGGTTGTGTGAGAAACTGGGCATTTTCCTGCCAAGATCAGAAATAGGCAAAGTTTATGGTTTGAATAAGTGGTGTTCCCCCAAAAGTTTATATGTGAGACAATGCAAGAATCTTCAGAGGCAAAATGATTAGATTATGAGAGTTGTAACTTAATCAGTGGATTAATCCAGGTATGGATTCACTGGCCAGTAACTATAGGCAGACAGGTGTGGCTGGAGGAGGTGGGTCATTGGGGGGTGTACCTTTGGGGTTTATATTTTGTCCCTGGTTAACCGAGCTCTCTGCCTCCTAGTTGCCATGTCCTGACCTGCTCTCCTCTGCCACACCTTCTGCCATGATGTTCTGCCCTCCTCCACCAACTATGGACTGAATGTCTGAAACCTTGTATCAAAATAGCCTTTGGGTCTTTGACCACAGGAGGTAGAATCTGACTAAACAGATGTCTCTCCTCACTAGTCCTTTCCAACATCACACTGGAAGTCCTAGTTTGTGGAATTACACAAGAAAGGGAATCAAGTACACCAAGAAAGAAGAATTAAAAAGAAAGCTAAATTGTCATTGTTTGCAAATAACATTGGTTGTTTATTAACAAAATCACAAAGGATGACCAGAAAAAAAAGGGGGAGGTGGAACTAATAGGCAATTAAAGTAGGATCTAAAAAAACATTAAAGTACAAAAATCAACTGATTCTCCAAATGGAATTCAAAATAAAGGAAAAAATACTGTTTACATGAGCACTCCTCAAAAGTTAAATATCTAAGTATAAATCTAATAAAATATGTATAATATATATGGAAAACTACAAAATTCTAATGAAAGAAACCAAGGGAGAACTAAATGAAAAGCTATCCCATATTCATGGACAGGAAGACTCAGCTACATTAAATTTATGGATTTAATGTAATCCCAGTCATGTGTAGATTCCACATAGGAAGAAAAACTTGTAATATTTTGTAGCATAGTAGAATAATTAACTGAATATTTCAAAATAGCTGATAGAGGGGATTATGAGTGTTCCCAATTCAAAGAGATGATAAGCATTTGGGGTGATGGATATGCCAGTTAGCCTGACCTGACCATTACACATTGCACATATGTATTAAAATGCCACACTCTGCCCCATAAATATGTACAACATGAGTTAATTCAAAATAAAAAATAGAAAAATTACATGAAAAGGCAAAGGACCCAGAATACCCAACACAATATTAAAGAGAAAAACATTCTGAGGCCTGACATAACATGACTTCAAGACTTCATATAACCATGGTAATCCAGACACTGGTGTTGGTAAAAGAACACACAGAGCCCAATGGAACACAATAGGTCACCAATGAACTGGCATAGTCAACTGATCTTGGATAAATAAGCAAAGAAATTCAATGAAGAAAATGTACACATTTCTTTTCAAATGGTGCTAGAATAACTAGAAATCCGCATGTCAAAAAAAAAAAATCTAGACAGCTCACATTCTTCACAAAAACTAACTCAGAATGGACCATTGGCCTAAATGCAAAAAATAAGCCCACAAAATCCTTAGAAAATAAACAGGATAAGTGGGCATGATAACACACACTTATAATCCCAGGCAGGGACTTGGGAGGCTGAGGCAGGCGAATCGCGAGTTCAAGATGTCAGCCATTTCATGAGGGCCTGTCTAAAAAAAAAAAAAGTAAAGATCTGGAGATGTAGCTCAGTGGTAGAGTGCCCTCTGCTTCAATTCCCAGCACAAAAAAAAAAAAAAGAAAAAAGAAAAAAGAAAAGAAAGAAAGGAGAGAAGGGGAAAAAAACAGGAGAGAATCTAGATAACCTTGGGTTTGTTGGTGACATTTTATATACAGGATCAAAGGCATGATTGATGAAAGGAAAAATTGATAAGTTGGACTTCATTAGATTTAAAACATTCTGCCCTGAAAAACACTGGCAAAACAATGGGATGACAAGCCACAGACTGACAGAACATTTTATCAAAAGATAGTACAAAAACTGGTATCCAAAATCAGAACTCTTGAAACTCAACAATAAGAAAATGAACAAGTCAATAAAAAATTGCCAATTACCACTATCATATCACTAAAAATATACATATGGCAAATAAGCATGAAAACATGCACCATATCATATACCATTATGGAATTACAAATTAAAACTGCAAAAATAAGCCACTTCCTACATACTAGAATAGGTAAAATCCCCAACACTGAAACAGTAAATTCTGGCAGGACGTAGAACTGAAAACTGGAATTTCTTCTCTTCTGCTGGCAGGTAGGGTCTGTGTAAGTTGCAGGCCTCTGCAGTCCACAAACAGCTTGCAGCTCTGAATGGCGGGCTGTGCCCCCTAGTGTTGCAGCCCAGCAGCTCACCAACTTCTTATTTCAGACTGAAATCCACAAACAAGGATGAGGGTCTAAGAGTATGATTTATTAGAAGGTGAATAGAAAGAGAACTCCCTGCCCACAGGGAAGAGAAAGCCCAAGAGAGGTTCCTCTTGAGTGTGCTAGTCTACGGAGTTTATATAGCCCTTGGGTCAATACTATTGGTCTAAATTTAAGTTAACCAGGACTTGAAAAAAGTACTTTCATTATTGGTTGACCATAGAGTCTGAACTTCCATTCAGGACTGCCCCACCACTGTTTTCTGGTCGCTAGCTGTAACCCCAACTTCCCAGGTGGCTGAAGTCAGCGGATGAGGTTGCTGGAGGAGGAGGTGTGTTTGGCAGCTATAGCACTGTGTGGACCCTCATCTGTGCCTGGCAGGTCAGGGCACCATGGAGTGATAGGTCAGTGTATCCTGGCTCATCCTGGCCCTGACCCACACCTGCGTGCACTCCTGCCCATCCAGGATGCTCTAGAACAAGGTCTTGGATTCTGAACCACAGGAACCTACATTCTGGGCTGATGGAGTGCAGCATGCAAGAGCCACTTTGGAAAACAGTTTGGAATTTTCTTATAAAATGCATCAAACTCTTAGAACACATCCAGCAATCACACTTCTTGATATTTACCCACATGCCTTGAAAATATGGGTCCACAAAAAAAAGTCTGCAAATATTTATAGCAACTTTATCCATCATCACCAAGATGTCCCTCAATAGTTGAGTAGGGTACTATTCACAGAGGAAACCTCACTGCAAGCTGTGGGCTTCGATAACGACGTGAGGATACATCTTCATCAGTTGTAATAAATGCCCACATGGTGTGGAACGGTGCTGGTGGGGAGGGACTGTGCTTGTGTGACAAGAGGAAGGTATTTGGTAACTTCTGGACTGGCCTTTCCTCTAACATATAATGTAAATCTAAGTTTCCTCTAAAAATAAAATTCAGTCAATTAAAAACATTTTCATTGTAATACTTTCTGATGTCACTATAGTCTCCTAAAAGACTCTTCTCAGGCTTTATTAAGGTATAATTTATAAATAAAAATTGTATAGATTTACGTCTGCAATGTCATGATCTGATATGTGGCTACACCATGCATTGATTAAATAAAGCTAGTTAACATCTCCGGTACCTCAAACACTTATTTCTTGGTAATAAAACCATTAAAGATTTTTCTCTGTGAGCCACTTTCAAGCTCAGGATCCCTTATTAACGGTAGTCACCAATTGTAGAGGAGGAAAAGTTTGTTTGAGGGCTCACGGTTTCAGAGGTCTTAAGTCCATAGAAGGCCAGCTCCATTCCTCAGGGATTGAGGTGAGGCAGAGTGTGGCGAGGGGGGGGGGCGGGAAGCAGCTCACATGACCATCAGGAAGCAGAGTGACTCCACTGCTAGATAGAAATACACACCCCCGTAGCCACACCTCAATGCCCCCTCCTTAAGCCACACCCCACGCACCTTCAGCTGCCACTCAGATAATCTCATCAAGAGATTGATGCACTGATTGGGTTGAGGCTCTCACAACCCAATCATGTCTCTGAACCTTCTTGCATTGTCTC